ATGGGAATCTGAACTGGTGCTTGCTAAACTTGCGACTATCCCAACTAATACATATATATGGTTTTTTTTCTAATGAAAGGGCTGTAACATTAAAAAAATTTTTTAAAAACCTTGCACAGATTATATTGAAAAAGCTGCCCATTACCTTTGTAGTAAGTCCCTGTCAAAAGATAAACTTTAAAGCTGGAATGCATGAAAGACTTCCAAGATAGAATTTAAATTTAAACTGATTCTTTAGAGATAAGCTTTTTAAAAATCCACCTCTTTGCTTCAAGTCAGGATTTTAAAAATAAATTTCTCCTTTAAATCTCTTGAGCGATTTTCATTTTTTGCAAGGCCGCACTGTTGGTGTCCTGGAAAAATGGAGAGTTAGAGCTTTATCAGTTGGTGCCCTGAGGTATGTGGCAAAGAAGCTAAATCCTTGAAGATTAGCAAAAAAAATGCAGCACATGGCAATAAGGGGCTTATATGACTACTAGTATTAGTTCAGGTGAAAGAAGTATTGCTTATACATAAAACTGGACAAATCCACTGACAATGTATTTTTAGTTAGCTACAAAGGAGTCTTATATTGCTGGACTTTACCTCTTTGGTGAATTGGGAAGCTTAGTAATCCACTGTAAATGCTCTTCTGCTCGCCCCAATTCTCAGCATTACTCTAAAGTGCTGTTCTTTTATTTTAACCCTTGCACACTCAGGTTGTCCCCAGATTTTGGTTTCATGCCATTAAAAGATGGCATGTGTCATATTATTTAATCGAAGTAACTGTCGTTTAGTTTGTTGGTTCCTGGGAAATAGACATAAGATATTGTCTTATACTGTATTTGTAGAAAGTTTCTCTGTCTTTATTTCTATAAGCAGATAAAATTAACATTAAAATCTGGGAAGAAATTTTTATTCAGAAATTGTATCTTCTGTATCTGTAGTATTAGCATCCTCATTAATCTCCTTTTTAAAAAATTTATTGATCTTTTTCTATACTCCTTTGAATATTTTCAAGTTAAATCTATTTAATTTCCTGAAGAATAAAATCAAAGTGCTTTTGTAGTTTGTAGGCAGAGTTACCATTTGTTCTACTGTGCCTGAAGCAATCCTAGTTTACATCTGTTTTATGGCATAATTAATAGCTCCCTCTTTCTTTACAGAGGTGTCTCTGTTTGGATGTTATAGTCACTGTAATTACAGATAAACCTCTGAGCTGAGGTAGCAGAATTATTCATTAATTCAGTCAGTTGAGTGAATACCTGTTTTTTTAAGGGCACATTCATACCATCTTTCGTGATTTACAAAGTATATCAACATTTTTGTTTGCTTACGTCTTACCATTTAACTTTTTAAGTAATAGGCCATAAGTAGGCCATGACTGGATTCATTTGCTCTGCTAAGTCATTTAAGACAGCATCAAAAACCCAACTAGTTTAGTTAAATGGCAACATTTATCTCAATTTTCTTATAAATTAGCCTTCCATAGAGAAAAAAACACTTTACAACTAATGCTAGCCACGTCAAAGAATATGTAATTTATCATAAGAATCTCTTACAAAATAAATAAATAAACAGTTCCGTGTCAAACAGTGAAGAACCCATATGGTGGAAAAGATGAATTTGGTGTCAGGAGACCTGGATACTAACTTTGTAACTCTGGACAGACCATTTTCTTTTCCTGAGCCCTTCATTATGTAGAGATAGTCATACTTCCCACACCTACCTTATAGAGTTGTGAAGACCAAATTAAGTAATATATATAGGTTATGGGACATACTTGGTGAAATAGTGTACAAGTGTAAGTTACGGTTACTGTGCACTGTGGTAAAGAAATGGGCCAAATACACACTCCAAGGCAAATTAATAATCCGAATTTTTAAACATAAGGGAACCAGCTTTATTTAAACAAAAGAGCTTTACAAAAGCATTGTTTTGAAATAATAGTATTATGAGTTGAAGAAATAAGTATTACTGAGCAAGAATTTCTAGATTACCTCTGCATAGTAGGGTGGGCTATAGATAATGATAATGTATATTTCAAAAAGCTAAATAAAAGAAATTTGAAAGTTTTCACTATAAAGAAATAATACATGGGACTAGATATATAGCTTAGTGTTAGAGAGCTTATCTGCCATGCCTGAGGCCTTATGTTCAATCCCCAACATTGCAAAAAGTTAAAATTAAAATTAAACATAAATATTTGAATAGAGATATGTTTAAGGAGTATTCGTAATACCTTATGAAATATAAATGTGCAACCTAAAATTTTTAGAATTGAACAAATACAGGAAATATGTGTAATGTATATATAACTTTTGAACTCACTTTAAAAGGACCATATTCAGTCCCAGTTTTGCTGTTTGCATAACCTTCAAATAAAATAGGAAAACAAAATGAATGGAAAAAAAGGGGAAAAGTGTTTCTTCCATATATTATCAAGTTAGCTATAAAACAGAATCCATATCTTCGCCACATGCTTGTTAAAGAAAGCTAAAAGTAAGAAACATTTGAAAAATAAATACAATACCTGGCAAAGTATAATTGGGTTTTAAATGTTTATTAATTTTGGTTATATTTATTTATTCTCCTAAAGATAACATAAAGTATCGATAGTGTACAAAATACAGATTGGACCCTTGGTTTTCAGGTCTGCTTAGCTATGAAATGCTTTGTCATCCTTCCACCAAGAAGAGGAAGTGAACACAAAGAACAAAAAAATCCACATAGTTATCACATGGGTCTTTCTCTACCCCACCTAGAGACTTTTTCCTGTGGGGCCTTGAGAAATATCTACTGTAGTATATTGTAGAACTGGTAAATGAAAGAGACCTCAGCCAAACGTGAGAATATTGAATGGACAACCTTTCATGAGAACTTTGATAAATTAAGGTTTGGGCTTGTCTAGTGTGCACAAGGCCCACAGTTCAGTCCATAGCATTCCAAAAAAGAAAAAGGAAAGCTTATATATTATGACATGAAATACCTACAGGATACCTTCTGGGAAATGTTCAATAGCCTTACATTTTGATCCAAGGTTCAATGAGGGATAGTCTCAAAAGGAAAAATTTGAAGACATATTTAAAAACCACATTTGAAACCATGGAAATGGGTGGGATTCCAAAAGAAGCTCAAATGTTGAGAGAAATAAATAAGATTAGGCAAAAGTAGAGGACTTTCTAAAGAAAAGGAAGAAGTGTATGAGACCTGTAATGGAAAACATGCTGGCTCATCAGGAAGTAACTAGTGTCTATGAAGAGTGGTTTTAATGACCTGGCTGGGGAAGAAACTAGATTGGTATGAGTTGAGGAATGAATAATAAGCAAAGAAACAGACAGTGAAGTGAATAAAGGAATAATGCAGATTGAAAAATGTGAGTGGTTGTTAGGCAGAGGTTGAAGGGAAGATAATTTTTTTTAAAGATAGAGTTGAACACATTTAAAAGGTAAATAAAAATAACTGACCTGATAGGTTGAGGGTACTGCAAATAATTAAGCTAACAAATGACTAATATTCTTTAAAAACTAGAGAAAATAGGCTGTAGTTACAGTTGAGGATGCAGAAAAGCATCCTGTAAGCAGCTCAAGTTTTCTTGCCTAGCGGCCTCAGTACTCCTTCCTGTGGAGTCTGCTGAGCAGAAAGCCAATGTCTTGATAAAGTTTTAGATTCATTGCTTCATATTCATGCTTTACATGTGCCTTTAGCATTTAACCAACACTGGACAATAGCAATAAACAAAAGAGATGTGGTGCCAGCCCATATGAGTGAATTGGAAATCGAAATAAACTGATGGTAGAAATAAACATTTTTCTTTGGTGTCACTTAGTGCTCTGAAGTATAGTTTTAGGTTGGTTATAGATGAACAGTGGAATAACCGAGATATGAGAAATAAGGTGACATTCAGGATAGGTGTTGATTCAAGGATGTTTATTGAGCACCTCCTACATGCCAGGCACTGTGCAAGAAGACGGTCAAAGCAGTCTAGATATGAAAGAGGTTTAAACAAAACTCTTAAAAGAGATAGGTAAATACATAAGAGAGTAGTAGGTCAGATCCATGTGCCGATCACTATATGATACAATGTAGTGAGTGATATTTAAACCAACACACTTCTATTACGATTTAATTCTTAAAATACATGATCAGTGGTGTGCAGCTAGTTGGTAAACTGTTCTCACAAAGTATTCCAAGACCATGGATGTTAAACTTCTGTTAGTACTCAGGACAGTGCCATTCAACAAAGAATTATCCCACCAAAAATGCCAGTCAATTTTCAATGCAGCGTTGAAAAGTGATGTATTAATTCAAAGCCACAGAGGTTTTGTTTAGCTTATTCATAATATTTATTATACCATAAGATGTTCAAACAAAAAATTATGGAGACTCTTTAATATATTTAATTCTGTATTCTTTCTGATAGCTCAAATACTTGTAAATTCTTCAAGTTTTTCAGGAATCACTATAAATTCTTTGTAAAAAGCAATATGGTTTTTTGTTTAGAGCATTTTAGATCTTTTTACTGCTAACCAAAAATGGAATAGTTAATACTGTGTAGTTAAAGTTGGCATTTCAGTTTTCTAATATGCTAAAGCTAACAGTGTTTAGTATTTGTCAAGTCCCATAAAACAGGTACATTTTCTCTTCAAGGAAAATATCATTGAAGGCTTTTCTGTTTATGTTAAATCTGGCAGTAATGTAAATACTCTACAATGCTCTAAATATGAATTTTTGTTTAAAAATCTCAACAGTATAATGGAACTCAAACTAATGAAACAGAAATAGCTACCCTATTTACATATTGTGGTTAAAGTTCATAGAATTTTTTATGATGCGAGATAGCCTTCAGTTATGGGGAACAAAACATAAAATAGTCTAGATTGTCTGTGTGTCTAGCATTTTAGCCGTATTTGTGGCTTAACTTTATTAAGTTTGTAAGGGTTGAGAAGTAAAAGCGTTAGTAGGCACTTTTGTAGCCAGGAGAAAAACTATATTGACTTGTAATATACTAACTTCCACAGATAAAAGTGGAACCAGTTGTTCCAGCCCCAAGTCCAGTTATCCCCAGATTGACTCTGCGAGTTGGTGCTGGCCAAGACAAGATGTAAGTATAAATGTTTCAAATCAGCAAAACAAGTAAAACTTAACCTTTTCTACCCTCTTCTAATAGATTTAGAATTCTACAAGCCTTTGCCCATATGACCATGAAGGGTAAGGCTTTTGTTTTGACAACTCTCCAAGTTAGTATTCCTTTCTTCCTCCAAATACTTTTTACTTTAACGTATAAGACATTATTTTTCTTATTGTTTATCTTTTTTATTAGCAGTGACCATTGCTAAATGATACCGAATCCATCTAGGGTTTTTTTGTGTATGGGGGTGGGGTGGGGAGAAGGGTAACAGGGATCAACTCGCAACCTTGTACTTGTTAGGCAGGTGCTTATACCACTGAGCTGGTCTTGTTTATATCTTTTTAAAAGACTAGCAATTAATATTGTTTCTGCATAGTGTTTTAAGGTCTTAGTAAATAAGAAACTGTGTATTAGATAGGCTGCCATGTTTCACCCAGTGTTACAGTCAGCTATCTGTTGCTGTGACACGTAACAGGTAAAACAACTTAAGAGAGGAAAGGTTTATTGTGCCTTCCAGTTTCAGAAGGCTCAGTATGTGGCCAGGTGTCTCCTTTGCTTTTAGGCCTGTTGTGAGGAAGAAAAACATCATGGCTGCAGGGTGTAGCGGAGAGATGCCTACCTCATGGCGGCCAGAAAATAAAAAGGAAGGAGTCGAGGCTGATGGGCTTCCTCCTCCTTCCACTTTTTTATTTAGGCCCCTAGCCTCTTGGCAGAGCTGCCCACGTTCAGGGTGGGTCTCCCTCTTCAGTTTGCTGTCCTACATGCCAATCATCTCTGGAAACACCCTCACAGATCCACCCAGAAATGTGTTTTACTAATGCACTAGCTGTTTCTTAGTCCAATCAAGTTAATGACCAAGATTAGGCATCAACTACATGGATGTAATGTTATACCTTCTTAAGGATACATTGTCGGGGCTGGGGATTTAGCTCAGTGGCATAAGCAACTGCCTTGCAAGCAGGCAGTCGTGAGTTTGATCCCTGGTACCGATAAAAACGAAAAAAGACAAAAAAAAAAAAAAGCATACATTGTCTGTCACTGATGCAGAACAAAGACACAGGTGAACATAGCTTTATTCTGTACCTATAAAACAAAGATACTGACAAGTCTTGGTGACACAAATGAGTAATGGTAAGAGCTGAAGTTATAATTGTCTACTCTTTTTTGTTTGTTTTAAAACTAGAAACATAAATCCCACATTTGTTGTTTGCCTTAATTTTCATAGAAACATTATATACTTGAAAGAACTCTCTATCTTTTAAAGCAAATTAGTTAAAGAAAAAGTAAATTGTTTAAATGTATTTCTTTAATTCAACTTTTGATGACATATTAAGGCCTGCTGTGCTCTTAACATGATCCAAATGAGGTATGAAACACTCATTTTATAAATCATATTGAAAATAATTTTCCTTTTTATAAATACCATATTGTATATCATCTACATGGAATTCACAGACTTAAAGTACAAGTTTACAACTTCATTTTTCCTGGTAGGTCTGAAAATGGAGTACTTTGCATTGCAAGCAAATATTAAAAATAAGCTTGCATTTCCATTCAGTTTTAACCATAAAAATGAGAGCAAGACTTGTAAGCGTATTTATGTAAGTAGGTAAAAAACAGAAACGTGCTTTGTTTTCTCAGTGGATCATTTCACTTTAAAGTTGGTGTGTATCTTATGCCACTGCCCTGTCAAGCTCAGTGGTAGTGCTGTGTAAAAAGCCCAGCGTGGTTATTACAAGTTGTAGAACGCGATGTAGATGTGGCCTTTATTAAGGGTGTACACTCCTCTAAAAATATAAAGCAGAAAAATCCAGATAGTCCATATTTTTTTTACCTAAATTCTCTGTATAATTTCCACATAATTCCTATTGTGCCAGTAGAGAAACCCAGATCATTGATGGTACCAATGACAAGCTTCAAAAATGTTAGCAAAAGAGACATGAACCCATCTCTTAGGTCAGGTATCTTCAGTTACAGTGTCCAGTGAACATAGTATAGTCAGTCCTTCCTAGAGAAGTCTGAGTAATGTTCTCAACTCAGCTGGTAGAGAACAGAAGAGACTACCAAGTAACTTCACTTTTAAAAAGTTTTTTCTCAGAGCCGGGTGTGGTGGCTCACACCTGTAATCCCAGCACTCACGAGGCAGGAGGATCGTTGCGAGTTCGAGACCAGCGTGAGCTACAAAGTGAGCTCAAGGCCAGCCTGAACTCCATAATGAGACCCTGTCTCAAAAAGACAAAAAAAAAAAAAAGTTTTTTCTTATACCCTTTCATGTTTAATTCCTATTTTTCAGTAACTGACCAATACCTAATCTGAAAAGTGTGACTTTCTTACTCCCTTTAGAGATAAAAGATTTGTAAAAAGGCATTGGAAGTTACATTCATCTCTCTGCCCTGATGCATCTTACGCTAATTTTTTTGACTGTTTATTCTATTTTCCTTTTTCAGTAAATCAGTCATTCATATACCTAAGATATTGGAAGATGTGAGAAATAAATCTTATTACTTTGGAACAAAGAAAAAATATAATAACCAGAGACTCTATACAAATTGACCTTAAAAGGACAAAATTATATAACATACAAGCCTTCAGCTATTTAGGTAAATAACCCACATAACTATATAAAGAGTTTATCACCTGACCAAGGCAGATGCAAGAAAATCTTTACGATGGAACAAAGAGATAATTGAAATACATTACACTTTTTAATTAAAATAAGAGAGAAGTCCATGTCAAATAATAATAGAATTATATAAAACAATTTATTCAATAAAGTGCTTTTGAGGAGTGAGGATTTTAAATCAGGGTTTGGTAAACTACAGCTTATGGGTTAAATTTAGCCCACTGGTTGTTTTTGTATGGCCCACAAACTAAGAATGGTTTTTACAGTTTTAAGTTCCAGAAAAAATTAAAAGAGTAATACTTTGTGACTGTCTTAGTTACTTCTTTCACATTTGAGACAAAATATCTGACACCCAAAGTTAGTTAAAGTTATTTATTTAGCTCGAAGTTTGTCAATGTTTCAGTCCGTAATTGGCTGGCTGAAGGTAGAGTGGTATAGTAGATAGGCACTGCAGAGGAGAAACTGTTCCTATCACCCAGAAGGTAGCAAAGCAAGCTGGGGACAAGACAAATCTCTTTCTGTCCCTTCTGTTCTATCTAGATCAGGGTTAGGGCAGTGCAAACCAATCGTGTGCTGATTTATGAATCACTCACCCTTAATCCTAGCACCTTTAATCCTAGCGTGGCACTATGAATCAGTCACACACTCTAGATTTAGTCACCTCTGAAAAACCCCCACGGATGACCACATGAGGCTTTCAGGGGACGTCTAGACAGAAGCCATAACAAATTTGCTGCATGAAAATTACTCAGGGAGTAATTTTCAGCACTCGGGAGGTTGAGACAGAAACAAATCTGTATCTTTTATGGTCATAGTATAAGAATACATGCTTAGTCCATGCTATAATAATGAAGAAAAGATAAAATATCCATATAAATATGCCCTTAGTTCCTTAATTTGTACACACTTGGGGGTGAATTTGTACCCTTTTAAAGTGAAATTGATGAGCAGACTAGGATTCAGAAATGAAGGAAATTGAATAGTCTGGGAGCAGGCAGGAATCTGTTTTGCTAAAAGACAGGCAAAGAATACAGTCCTTTGAAATTATGAGAAAAAGGAAAAGGTTCAAAATATATCTTGTCTTTGGAAGATCTGTAAGACAATATTTAGTTTCTGAGTCTTAAATAAAGAAATTATGTCTTCTGCCCTTGATCCAGAAAAGTACTTTGAGGTTAGCTTGTTTAGTCTATTGTATATTATCTTTTCTTAAAGTAAGACAGAGGTAACTTCTTTTTCCCTTGATTTCACATTCTTAGAAGTTGTTCTGAAGGGGACTTAGGGTGGGCCAGTACCTCATCCTGACCACAGTTAAAATTTTAGATGACTTTGCACAGACCTCAAATTCTTGTAATATGTCTTCCTACAACAGGCAGAGTTCCCTATGGTCTACATTGAGTATGAAATTAAAATCCTCACCATGCCTATAATCCCAGCACTTGAGAGACTGAAGCAGGAGGATCACTGCAAGTTCAAGAGCAGCCTAGGCTACATAATGAGACATAGTCTCAAAAAAAAAGAAAGAAAAAGTCCTGACCCTGAAATTACAAGCTCAATACAAGCTTAGTACCCATGAAGGAACCTGGCACATTCAGGCTCACTTTTGAGAGATCTGAGTCTAGCTCAGCAGTCCGTCTGGCCTTGATGCCATGACAGCCAGGGGATTTCAGCTCACCCAGGATCCCTGGAACCCTGCTGATCAGGATTCTGGGTCCCAGAGTTCTGTTAAAGGAGTGTCATGTAAAAAGATTTAATATTACATACTGGTAAAGTATTAGAAAAACAATATAAATTTGTGTGAAGCCTTTGAATGATGGGAGTGGGGAGGAGCTTTCTTCGCTCACATTTCCCATTGGTCCCTTACTGCTCTCACACAGGCCAGTCCCTGGGGTGGAGAGACTGCCACCTGCTCTGCTGTGCTGCTGGTAGCCAGGGCGCTATAGTGGGGAAACTCAGAACTGCCCTTCTCTGCTCTCAGAACACTCCTGCCTGCATTCCATGAGCTCACCAAAGAAAGGGGATGACCTGAACCCCTTCAGATACCCCAAAATGCTTGGTTGTGTTTTCTAATTAATATCTAACAGCATATTTGATCAGGTGATACCAGAACAATATTGCTATCAGTGATAACTAAATTTCCTTGACCAAGAGTCCAGAGTAGGTATTCTGTTTGACAAATTTAACTCAGCTTCAAACCACTCGAGTTATGTTGATTTTTTTTTCAGAGATGACTTTATTGCTGGTGGTTAGTTTTATTTTTTGCTGTTTTGATTTCCAGTGGCAACTAGATTGCTTTCTTAAACTCAGAAAAAAAAATTTTTTTTGAGAAAATTTTCTTATTCTCTATTTCTTT